TTGGGTGTTAATCACATAGCGATTTGAACTAAATTATTGACTCTAGTAAACCCTTTGGGTGCTGGTTACATGGTGATGTGAACTATGGGTGTTAAGCACATACAGATGTGAGCTATTGGTGTTAAATCACATGGCGATGTGGACTAGATTATTGACTCTAGTGCAAGTGGGAGACTCAAGGAAATATGCCCTAAAGGCAATAATAAAGTTGTTATTTTATATTTCCTTATATCATTATAAATGTTTATTATTTTTTATAGAATTGTATTAACCGGAAACTTGATACATGTGTGAATACATAGACAAAACAACATGTCCCTAGTATGCCTCTACTTGACTAGCTCGTTGATCAAAGATGGTTAAGTTTCCTAGCCATGGACATGAATTTGTTATTTGATGAATAGGATCACATCATTAGTGGAATGATGTGATGGACAAGACCCATCCGTTAGCTTAGCATAATGGTCGTTCAGTTTTATTGCTACTGCTTTCTTCATGTCATATATATATTCCTTCGACTATGAGATTATGCAACTCCCGGACACCAGAGGAATACCTTGTGTGCTATCAAATGTCACAACGTAACTGGGTGATTATAAAGATGCTCTACAGGTATCTCCGAAGGTGTTTGTTGGGTTGGCATAGGTCGAGATTAGGATTTGTCAGGTATCTCTGGGCCCTCTCGGTAATGCACATCATATGAAGCCTTGCAAGCAATGTGACTAATGAGTTAGTTGCGGGATGATACATTACGAAACGAGTAAAGAGACTTTCCGGTTACGAGATTGAACTAGTATGAAGATACCGACGATCGAATCTCGGGCAAGTAACATACCGATGACAAAGGGAATAACGTATGTTGACATTGCGGTTCGACCGATAAAGATCTTTGTAGAATATGTGGAAACCAATATGAGCATCCAAGTTCCGGTATTGGTTATTGACCGGAGAGGTGTCTCGGTCATGTCTACATAGTTCTCGAACCCGTAGGGTCCGCACGCTTAACATTCGATGATGATATGTATTATATGAGTTATGTGTTTTGGTGACCGAAGGTTGTTTGGAGTCCCGGATGAGATCACGGACATGACGTGGAGTCTCAAAATGGTCGAGAGGTAAAGATTGATATATTGTAAGGTAGTATTCGGACACCGAAAGGGTTTTGGAGTGTATCGGGTACATAGTGGAGTATCGGAGGGGTTACCGGTACCCCCCGGTGGAAGATATGGGCCATATGGGCCATAGGAGGGAGGCTAACCAGCCCACAAGGGGCTGGTGCGCCCCCACAAGGGAGGAGGCCGAATTGGACTAGGGAAGGGGGCGCCAGCCCCTTTCCTTCTCCCTCTCCTACTCCTTCCCCCTTTCCTCCTCCGATAAAAGGAAAGAGGGGGCGAATAGGACTAGGAGCCCTAGTAGGACCCCCCCACACACACACACACTTGGGGCGCGCCCTAGGACGTCCTCCTCTCCATCCATCCTTTATATACGGGGGGCACCCCTATGAGACACAACAATTGCTCATAGCTGTGTGCGGCGCCCCCCTCCACAGTTTACGCCTCCGGTCATATTCTCGCGGTGCTTAGGCGAAGCCCTGCGTGGATCACATCACCATCACCATCACCACGTCGTAGTGCTGATAGAACTCATCTACTCCTTCGATCCTCTGCTGGATCAAGAGCTCGAGGGACGTCATCGCACTGAACGTGTGCAGAACTCGGAGGTGCCGTACGTTTGGTACTTGATCGGTCGGAACGAGAAGACGTTCGACTACATCAACCGCATTGAGCAATTGCTTCCGCTTTCGGTCTACGAGGGTACGTGGACACACTCTCCCCCTCTCGTTTCTATGCATCTCCGAGATAGATCTTGCGTGAGCGTAGGAAATTTTTTGAAATTGCATGTTACGTTTCCCGACATGAAGATCACTTTGGACAACGATGAGCACCTGAAGTAGAGCAACATGCGACCTCTTCTTTTGACCTGTCTCGTGGAGATGAAATGCTCAGTCCCTGCGCTATCAGAAGAGCCACCGATATGACTTGCCTCAGGTTTCTTCTTTTTCTCTTCATGAGTGGCGTGGCTTGCCTCGGGCTCAGGAAGCTTCTTCTCCATAGGAGTGCCTAAAGATGGCAATGAGGAAAATCCAGCCACATAATCGTGCTCAACCCGCTCATCAAACAGTTCAAAGTCAATCATGTTCTCGTACGAACAAAACAGACTACCTGATGATATGCCCTCCTAACCATCCAACCTTTGGTTGGTTGGATGAATATTTTAGCTGTCTGCAAATTTATGTGATGAAATGACATTCTTGGAGGTCTGGACAAAAACTCCATATCTGTCCTATGTCTCCTTTTTAGTGGCACCTTAATTTATGGAGAGTCTGCGGTGATGAATCGATTGGATCAGCGTCATTGACAGTCGTTGGATGTTACACGAGACAACCATCTCCTATCGCATAGCCGTTGCAACAAGGTCTGTGTTGTGCTTAATATGAACCATGTTGCGGTAACATATGGACATGGCCTCACGACAGCGGGCTTGTTGCATGGCCGCTTGTCTCTGCAGCAAAGCTCTTGTCTAGCACGGATTCGTGCTTACGCATGTGACATCCATCCATGGAGCCGAGGGTCTCCAAATGAAACTCCATCTCTGAGTTGGTCCATGGGATGAGATCTCTATGGGCGGAGGAGGAGGGGCGTTGGGCAAGAGGATGCGTCAAGGGATGAGGCGCTATGGTTCTCCACTCGAGCTCTCCCACCCGATCTAATCCATGGTACTAGCTGGAGGACAAGGTTGAGGAAGAAGGGGATTCGGTGGATGAGGACCCGTGAGACATGTGTCATCCGAACGAGGCGGCCGACAAGGCATGAGTAATCCGTCAGATGATTATAAGTGTTTCCCTAAATTTATTTTAACATAACAAATTCTAGAGGGAGGGATACAAACAATTTGGTATATTTATTGTCATGTTATACTATATATAATACAACAATATTAGCACGTCATAAGCCATAAGATCCCAAAGAAAACTACTAAGAGACAGGTGGCATGAAACTGTACAGACAAAATAGGGCGCTTCTAACCTAAAAAAAAGAGGGTGGGCGCTTCTTCCTTGACGGGGATTTTTCATTCTTATCATCGGCACCGTCAGAAACAAAGCGAACCAAGTGACCAAATGATATACGGTAACCTTGACTCCCATGAAATTAGATCAAAATCTTCCTTGGATAGAACAATACAGCTTGCTTTTGTTAGGAAGTCACAACATATCATTTTAGGTAGATTCTTTCCCAAAGCATTGCTCGGACCGCTAACATAGGGTTTAAGGCATGATGGAGCACCAAGACAAAAAGCAGTGACCGTTGTGGAGGCGCACTGGGCGACCTCGATTGAAAAGCTCATTTGGATTGACACTAGATCTGGCCATGTTCCACTTGACTGTGGCTCTGACCCTGTCCAATTTGCAAAGCCGGAAATGTGGATTTGGATTCTTTCTCAATGCATATGCAATCAAGTTTGCTGAGATGAGTGATCCTCCCAGCAAAGTGGCGAACTCTTCCACTATGGTTACTAACCGCGGATGGTCCATCGGGTTTGCGCTCCCGAATGCGAGTGTCTTGAACAAGTACATGCACTCCTCGATTGGGAGGCAACTCAAAGAAATATGCTTAACGGTTCCAAATCTCTTCAAGTTTTCATTTCAACCTAGGATTATCACCTTGCTTCCTCTGTCCATGCTCATAACAGTTGAATAAAATGTTCTCTAGTCATCATCTTCTACATCAGAAACGAACTCAACAACTACCAATGTCCTCCTCCCTGGCAGCTCTTCATGGTCCGTTATTCTAAAATTATCATAATATTGTAAAGTGAGAATGCACCTTCTCATCAACGCATGCATGTGCAATGAGAGTTCTCTTCCCAACTCCATGTCCGCCGGTGATTGGCAGCACCACCCGAGGAACAAGCATGTAAAGTAGCAGCAAGAAGATGGTGATCTGTTGCTTCTCAACGCGCCGAGCAAACACGAAGTGGTGGACGTGAATATAGGCTTTGTACAGTGTACAACTCTACAGGAGATGCGCTCACATCCGCCTAAGAGTATGAAAAACTCCATGTTAGCGACAACTTCCAGATTTCACGGTGCGCTTTGTAACTCCAAGTTGAAGACCTGGTTTGTACCATTGTCTGTGTGACACCGTTTAAGAGGGATATAAATAGATAGGGAAATGAACAGCTCATCAATTCATTGGAAGCCTGCATAAACCTGATGATGTCCAACTCCCAACACATGTTACCCTCGGTACATGGCTGTCAATAGCTTCTTCAACTGTATGGAGCCTGTATGGCTCACAATTCAACACGAGCTGAACTATTTGCAAAGAAAAGTACTCTAGCAGAGAAGTGCAGGTTGCAGCATGGCCACCAAAGACCGAAACAAAATCTCGCTGACTGCTTTTCTTCAGCAGTGGTGGTCAGAGAGAAATAGCAGAAAGGAAGATCACAAAAAAAAATTCTGGATTTTCAGCAACAAGAGGGCATCAAAATAGTCAGCCGGTACGCCATGCAAAAGATGTGAGGAGCTCAAAGACATGATTTTCTGAAAAATTACTAGTGTGAATGGTTCTATCATTCTGTTCAACTGAGAGTGATCAACGAACAGGAAATTACATGAAGTTGGCATTTTGTCCAAACCTTTCACGAACTTTACTTTGGTTGCTAGCATAATTAAAAGCAACAATAGCCCTATCAAAATTGTATGAAATATAAACTGTTGCATGGTAATTCAGAGCTCTTCAGTTTGTTCATAATCAACTGATGCAAATACTCAAATAAATTGGTACTTGCAGAAGCCCTCAAAGGCCCCATTGACTCAATGCAGCTCTACATACAACCAAACAGAGCTCTACATGTCACTCACTACATGAGAAGCATTTTCTTAGCCTTTCGGTGCATTGCTCGCTTCTAGCATAATTTCTTCACGAGAAATGAAGGTCTCAAGGACCGAATGCAATTCTCTGCACCAGATCTGGCCTTCTCTTGCTCGGCATTCGAAGAAGTCCAGTAATTTGGAGCTCCGTGACAGCCCTGCAGAACCGTGCTCTAGAAAAATACGTGTCAAGGATTACTGAAATATGAGTAGACAATTATGGACTCAGTTTGTCAGACTATGGTCAAGGAAGCACAAAAAAAAACTATGGTCAAGGATACTGGATCATGGCTCCACTCTGTTGAGGCGTGGCTTTTGATTTCTTTTTTGAGGGAGAACCGACCAATTTGCTTTTCCCTTTTGAATTGATAATTCCATCAAAAGACAGGTACCAGTCATGGAGGTTAATTACGTCACCATATTCTTGGGCTAGGTTGCACCTGCAACATAAAATGGTTTCGCATCAGCTATAAAATGTTGGCCAAGGCTTTGCTTGCCCATATGGCAAATGTTTGAGCCTAGGCCTAGCCTATTAATCATGAATAAATATACTCCATGGACTTACATTACTAATATGGCATATTATGGTGGTGCCATTCAGATTCCAAGCGTCACAGCTTAAATATCAGTATGAATATTCATATCTTAATGCGTGGACTTACATAACTGATGTGTCATGCAAGGATGCTGACACAGCAATTCCATTTCTGCTGCAGCAAGAGCAATTAAGACGGCTCTGTGACTTCAGGAGATCAAGCTGAACCATTCTTCTTGGGTTTCCAATTAGTGCCTACATATGATATGAGATGAAATGGAAATCAGAATTGTTATTAGTATATGGGTTGCACTTACCATTCTAAATTAATTGAAGTTCTAGCTTTGTCCTAAGTCAAACTTCTCCATATTTGAGTCTAGAAAAATGTGTTAATATCTACAACATCACATACATATAATATGAAAATATTTTTATGATGAATCTAGTGAAACTAATTTGGTGTTGCAGCTGTTGATGTATTTTTCATTTTTTCTATGGTCTTGGTTAAACTTAAAAGAAGTTTGACTTAAGTACTCCCTTCGTCCCATAATGTAAGAAATTTCTGACACTACACTAGTGTAAAAGAACATCTTACATTATGGGACAAAGGAGTAATTTGGAACAGATGGAGTACACGGTAATAACAATTCTCTATATGAAGGAAAAACTTACAGATTGGAGAACACCAACATTCTTGAAGCAAATGATTTCGTGAAAAGGTAAACACTCCACAGGCACCAAAAGTTTTCTGTTGAATATCTAGACATTAGATGCTAAAACTTCAAATGACTTAATATTATAAACTGAACAGAGTTAATAGGATAAGTGACTTCTCAGTTCACAGCATCAACTTGACAATCAGTCATGTCAAGATGTTAATTACTAAATCCCATTGTATATCATACCTATTCCTAGCGGGTCTTATGGTATATCATTGTACATCTAGGCTTCATCTGGTATTACGGTGGATTATGATAAACTGGTGATCACATTTGGCCCAGCTTCTTATATTTGGGTGTTTAGCTAGACGCTTCTCTTAATGAGGATGGAAACAAATATATTACTGTGTTTCAAACTGAGACGAAATGTGAAAAAACAAACATTGAATAACAAAATTGTCTGATACTAAGCTAATTTTTTTTTAGAAAAAGGGGGCAGCCCAGTGCATGTAGCTCCTTTTTTTTTTGACCTGAAGAGTGCATGTAGCTCCTGCTTGCACAGGGTCCGACCACTTTGGGTCTATTGTACGCAGCCTTTCCCTACATTGCTGTAAGAGGCTGTTTCCAGGACTTGAACCCGTGACCTCATGGTCACAAGGCAGCAGCAGCTTTTACCACTGATACTAAGCTAATTTACTAAACACAAAATGCAAGATCAAAATGGTGCTGAGCTAATATATCCTACCATAACTTTACCTCGTAATATCATCCAATAGCATGGCAGCTTTATCGTTTAATGGCACTGTTCCAATTGCAGTACTATTTGCTGATCTCCTGATACAGCATGAAGTGATGGTCAGCCAGTTTCAGCTAAGCAAAATTTATAATATTGTATTGGAGTTTCATGGATAAGATATTCAGTCACGTCTTGCCAGTTGTCACTATAGCATTGTATGTAAAGTAAATACTACATTAGTCTGACTGGTATGGTAGCAAGTGCGTCGAATGAAACACCCCTGCTAATTATTATTCGACATTAGCATCATGATCATGATTCAGTATCACAAGTCATACATATCCATTAGTTATAAATAACAATAACTGCATGGTTATTTTGGCAGTCTTAATATTTGTTTTATCAATAGAATTGCACATGAGAGATGATAAAAGGAGGTACAAACCTAGGCCACTTATCCTTTGTGATTGTCACACAATCTTCACTGGTTGTGGTTGACTGAAGCTCTTTGACCTTGGCATTAATCTAGAAAAGAATGAGCATATTCATAACTAGCGCCTCAGTGCAGCCAATACAAATATTGCAATTATTGTCTTTGGGTTTTCTGCTACAAGCCCATAATTAGCTTCTCCGATGTAAAGTGAAATTGCCAAATTTCCAGTCCATTTTGTAAAAAGATAAGTTCAGCAATCACAAGTATTCAGAAGCTACTTTAACCCAAAAAACTTCAAACAGAGAACCAAAATAATATGTCCCATTTTCAGAGTATCTATCCAGATTCCATACAAACAACCTAGTACGAAAACTGGTGATGAGAAACTGGATCCACCATTTAGCAAGTGAATAAACTTGACCAAAATGACTTAATGAGAAATAATATAATTTCTCGTTACATGACTTGTACTTCTTTCACCAAAGTTTTCATCATTACGAAATCAGCAGTGAGAATACCTCATTCATTCCTTCTAAGTGGGTGCTCCAAACTTCAAGAACACGAAATAATGTTTCCATAGGCATGTATCTGATCCAACATAACGGATTCATCAGAATCTAAAAGACAAAATTAAATAGAAGTTTCATAAAAGGGTATTGCCTTCAGACAAATGAAAACATCAGCCCTAGTATGTAACTGCTGCTGCAAAAAAAAAAACTTGTCTTTCATGGTAATTGTCAGTTGGCCATATTACTTCCAATACAATAATCATGGCCTAATGACTCCATTAAAGAATGTGGAGCTCTTATATTAAAGATATAAAAAGGTACGAGGAGAGTGATTGGGGAAACATTGTACACAGTCAAACACCACAGGGCCACAGGTTTTATATTAGCTCAACAGTGCAATGATAGAAATTACAAATCAGTTAGGATCTACATGTGATATACTCCCTCCTTTTCTAAATATAAGCCTTTTTAGAGATTTTAATACGGACTACATACAGATGTATATAGACATATGTTAGAGTGTAGATTCACTCATTTTGCTCCATATGTAGTCCATATTGGAATCCCTAAAAAGGCTTAGGAACGGAGGGAGTACAAGGTTAGATATGCACAAATATCTATAACAATAATAAATCGGAGACTTGTGCATCAAGAAACCTGAAAGCAAATTCGATCATCTTACCTTGCTGTATCCAATGCCTGAGCTATACATCTTCTACCAGCACCTGATTTTCCACTTGATAGATTCCCACTTGTGAGTTTAGACATAAGCAGTTCATTATTTGAATCATTCTGAGTGTGCAGATCTGGATTGATTGCCTCGCAGAAAATATCTAAAAGTTGCACTTTGCCATGTCTTCCAGCTTCATACAAGCACTGGATAGTCATAATGTGGGAGAAAAATATTCAGTATTGTGGACCTAGCATATTCACAATTAATCAACTAAAGAAGCTTCTGTAATTTCAAAATTGTACGGATGTGTTTTATATCACATACATACCAATGAGTAAATTACATAGTTACACTTTTCATTAGCTTTTATTTAGTATCCTTCACATGAAGGGAGACATGTGAGCATGCAATATCTTAAGTGTTTACCACAACGCTCATTTATGTATAATGAAGGAGAGCTGTTGTTTTCTCAAGGGGGCGGGGGCGCGGGGGGAGTGTGGATAGTAGCACCATGAGCCTACCAAGAGAACAGAACTCCAATCCTTTTGCAGCTTCATCAGCTCAGACAAACCTTCTACCAAATTGTTGCCAGGCTTGATTGAGTTATTTTCCCTGCAATACACAGTTTCAAACCTATAGAATGGGAGATATTATTGTAACCAGATCTTATAGATGATCTTATACCTAGTGCATGAGGGTAAACCAAAAGCTTGTTTCTGAACTGCTACAGGCAGTGCACCAAATTTATCACGCCAAAAGTTCTGTAGGGTAGTAAATCAGAAGCAACTCAAACAGATAGTATATATATATATACTAAAATATAAGGGAAACTGAAGTGTAGGTTCTAGCTGGTAGTAGTAACAAAAAAATAGCAAACATGGTACTATGATGGAAATAGGGAATAGCAGCAACCTCAGAATCCTCTTCAAGCATTCCCATGCACAAGAAACTCAAAGGTTCGACAGAGAAGTGCTTACTGCATGCAAGCTATGTCAATTTTGATTAGTCATTCCATAACAGATAGAGAAAATATATTCATAGAATTTCTAACATGAATATAGCCTAAGTGCTTAATATGAAAAACTAACCTTGAGAGCACTAATGAATGATGTTATTGTCCCATCATGTCTGAAAAAGTAATTTCTGAGGAAGACTGCAACTTCGTGGCTGATGCAGAAACCGGCGCATGGTTTAACAAGGATGGCCTCCACAAGGGCATTCATTCTATCAGAGGGAGACCCCAACGTGAGTTTACAGGGATCTAATCTTTGAAGAGCTTCCGATGAGAGCAGTTTCCTTGGTGCGTCAAGGGTAGTTGCTATCCCCATTACAAAGAAGATTGGAATCTTAATTACCCACTCACTACAATAAAGAGATAAGTATTAGGCTTTCAAAAATTCTATGTCGAACCAAATCCACAAATGCAAGCTTCTTAATTGAAACTAATCACAGAAAGAAGAAAAACTACTCCCTCCATTCCATAATGTAGTGCGCCCGCGCTTTTCGAGATTTAAGTTTGACCATAAATTTAACCAACGTGGGTTAAATTTAATGGTATAATTTTTGCTCCCGCCGCAGTCGCCCACGTTGGTTAAATTTATGGTCAAACTTAAATCTTGAAAAGCGCGGGCGGACTACATTATGGAATGGAGGGAGTACGTATTATGTTTCATTACTGGTAAATACATTTCTTCTAGAGAGCTAAACAAGTGGCAACAAGTGGCATGCTCATGCAACTACAAGAATATGTTTCATTACTGGTAAACACATTTCTTCTAGAGAGGAGCTAAACAAGTGGCATGGAGCATGCAACTACAAGAATATGTTTCATTATTGGTAAATACATTTCTTCTAGAGAGGAGCTAAACAAGTGGCATGGAGCATGCAACTACAAGAAAAGGAGCAGAAGCTATTGAACAAATAAATCGATATGCTTCTTGCTATCATTGACATTGAAACTAATTAGTGTTAAGCTGTAAGGATTAAACAGTGGGCTAAGAGTTGAAACTAGTATTTATGTAGTCAGGATTTTGGCATATCTCATGGGTACCGAGATCAGAGTTTCTTCAAAGATTGCACTTACTTTTACCTGGGTTGGCATAGAAGTGCCTAAAAGATAAGAGCGAAGTGCCTGAAGCGACGAAACATAGAGTTTACCTCAGCGTCATCACAAGCTCTCCCAGGACATCACCGGAGCATTGCTCTAAATCATCAATTATGATAATGATAGGTTGATCATAATTGTCGCCTTTGCAGTACCAAGATGCAAGTGCAGATACATCTGCTACCTGTTGGAGAAAAGCAGCAACAGATGAAGTTAGAGAGCCAATACATTCGAGTCTGAATCAACAATGCAGATTTAAAAGATTTCAGCCACAGTCATGTCACTCACATCTGGAACGTCTGAAAGCAGCTGCCTCAACAAGCTCCTTAAGCAGCCACCGACTCCATTCTTTGATGATAATTCCGTTGCCGAGAGCTTGGCCAGGTGACATCCATTAGACTCCAGATGATCCATGAGATCCCGAAATGTCGTGACATCGTCAACAAATTCTGCATTCTCTGCAAAAGTGAGAAATCCAATCAAATCAAATCAGCTGATTCCTCGCCAGTAGAAACCAATCAGTCAAACACTTGATGGCAGTGTTCTGCTTACTAGTGAGAACAAACGCCGTTGGTATCTTTCTGCAGATCACATCAGTTAAGAGAGGGTACGGCTGCTGGATTTCGGCAGGGCAGGGTCTCGTGATAGAGCGGATCGCGGAGAAGGATTCCTGAACCCACCGCAGCACCTGGTCGAACAGCTTGAGGTTGATGCCTCTGAGGACCTCCTGGAAGCAAAACCAAGCAATACCAAGATGAGACATAGCACACATTAAAGTATGCACATGATGAGGAACGAGGCTGGTCAATCGAATTATGGGGTGAAGAGAGGCAGACATTGATGGTGGATTGGATCTTGGACCAGGTGCAGTGGAAGGCCTCCAGGCGGAGCTGCTCGAACAGCTCCATGTCCCCCTCATCGTCGTCGTCCCGCGGCCTCTTTGCAGATTTGGGGTTGGGAGATGACGGCTGGGAGACCTCGATTCGCCGCCGGGCCCGGGAGGTTGCCGGGGAGGAAACGGATGCGGACGCACCAGCGGACGCCTTGTGAAGGACAAAGAACGGCTGCAAGAAGACAGGCATGAGAGGGGGGGTAAATGCAGATCACGCGCAGGCTGCAACATCTGAGCAGAAACATGCCTGGATATTGTTGGCGGCTGTGAGCGGAGCTTCGCGAGACGGTGTGCCCATGGCTCCGGCGGTCAGAGGGGGGAGGCGGCGGCGAGGGGCACGGCGGCTGCTAATCGAGCCGGCGGTTGCTCACCCACGCGAGGCAGCGGGCCAATTGATACTGCTCTGCCCCGGCTAAATCTTTCTCTGCAATTGATTACCCCATCTTAGCCTTGCCGCTGGCAGTTGATAAAATGCCACACACTCCAGGATTCACTTGTTGTTTGATAGCGCGGGAGAGAGGGGGGCTCACCTGAGAGGACCCGTTGTCGTCTCGGCGGACGGCGGCGCGGTCAGGGGAAGGCGGGGCGGGACGGGCGGCGCGAGGAGAGGGCGGGACGGGAGGGGGACGGGGCTCGCGCGGTGGAGTGGGGAGGGGGGCGGAGGAGTCAGGGAAGGCGTGCGTGGGTCGTTCCGTTCCGGTCCGGAGTCCGGACGGGGAGAGAAGAGAAGGGACTGATGTGATCTGACGGTCAGGGCGTTCCGAGGGGTCGGATCGTGTGGCTGGAAATTGCTTGTTGGGACGGTGCCTTAGGGTAGACCAGTGCCAATGTTTGGCTTGGCGGGAATTTGCGCGCCAGAATTGAGCGGGCTTAGCTTGGAAAAAGGCCGTTTGTGCCCGTCATACTCAGACCACCTGGTTGGTACTTACACTGTAGTCAGGCTTAGCTTGGAAAAAGGCCTTCTTTCTCTAAAAAGAAAGTTAATATGGTACGCATTTTGCGTGCCCTTAATTTTTTTTGCAAAGAAACCTCAAATCAGCCTTTTTTTTAACTGCAAACCATAGGTAGAACAATTGTACTACGGTATTTCTCACTAATAAGGCAAATAAAATACAATATTTACAACAAGAAAAACAACAGAATGAAAAAACTGTTCTAGTGAAAAACAACTCAAAACTTGCAAGGTTTAACGAGCATTTTCCGTTCGAACTTCGAAACTAGCGAATTAAGTTGAATTGGCATTTGAATGGGTTTAAGGAGTCGAGTTGTCAAATAATATTCTCTCTAAACTTTGGCTGCGTTTTTTTATAATAGTCTCCTCCTTTATTCAATCACAATTGCATCATTTACAAGGAATGGTATCATCGCATCCATTGGCGAATCCATCCAGATACTAGAAGGAGGTATCTTTACAATTGTACTCGCTAAACTTTGGCTGTGTTTGCTGGGCGATTTTTCATGAGAAAAAACGACGTTTGTTTGGGCAATTGTGAGAATATAGCATTAAGAGCATGCTTTGGGAGTAGCATAAACCTACAGTGTGGATATGATCTAGCTGCAACTCTTCTAATGATTTCGTTGCAGGTGGTTTTGGCGTCTTCACAAGCTCCTCCAAAAAGGAAATTATTGTTGTCACTATAATGCACCTACTTAATTGCAGTTCTTCAGATGACATTATACGATTCCACATCATCATGAACGTGATTGCAGAAATATGACAATTCAAACATAATAAAAAGAAAGGTGCATCAACAGTTCAAAATTCCAATGCCATAAAAACTAGCAGCAATTTGTGCCTGGAGATTCAACCAAGTCTGTAAACACTAAAATCACACTAGATAGCAGCACTTCCCAGTGCTCATCATCAAAACAACAGCCAAAGTTTTCCTTCTAATTTAATCAACAACGGAGAGCACAGAACCAGGTAAATGTGATTCAAAAACTAAAACAACTGTCCAGTTTCAAGTGCTCGATCGGTTACAGTCACACCGGTCACACACATGAACCAGCTCAAGCCCACAATTATAATTACATCAGCGACTTAAAATTATCGTACATACACTACAATTGGCACCACCGTGCATCATCGTACATACACTACAACTGGCACCTCGTGCATTATTGTACAACAAGGACCTGCAGCCTTGACCGCGCCTCCGCAACTGAACTCAACTGTTCTTCGTTAGGGTTTGCTCTTGCAGCAGCAAGAGCTTCAGCATATGTAACTCTTTCCTGCTCTATCTTGTCCACTTCAATCTTGTCGATTTCACTCTGAAAGAGCAACATTTGATGGTTAGTTAACGAGGGTAAATATGCAGGCATGACATCTTCTCAGTTTTACTTTTGTTGAAGTTTTTGTAGCAGCTTTCATAGTGATCTTGCATGGCAGGGCACAGGCCGCATTATTAACATATCCTAAAAGTGTTACCCTGATTATGTTGATAGCCTAAATTGTTAGCTAATTCCATTGTAGAATCCAAATATTAAACATTACATGATTTTCAAGCCAGAAATGATAAGCTAGAGTACCATACATTTTACACAGTTGCCAAAAAAGGAATAATTTGGATTGCAATTAGATCTTTTGCAGAAAATTAGTAGTACAGGTATGCGTCATCATTGATCAGACCTGTAAAACTTGTAGGGATTCAAGAAGGTTTACGACAAAAGGTAAAGACACAGCAATCAAGGATTACTCACCACTGATTGAAGTGCCTCTAGATCATAAGATGGTATGCTACCATCGTGACAATCATCTGAAACATTCTCCGAGATTTTCTCGAATAATGTCACGAATGAACTTATCTCAAACTCCATACTGGAGACATCCCCTTGAAGATCTTCCACCTTCTTATTTGAGGTCTTTACCTCCCATTCCAATTTTTCTAAAGATGCTTGCTTGTCTGCAAGCATAATCTGTAGAAGAAATTTCAGGAAAAAAAACATCAAATAAATGCCACAGTATGGGCTGTTGATTTGACTATAAACCAAACATTTAATACAGGAAAGCAAGGGAACAGAACACCCACTCTGTTAAACTTTACCGAAATTGAGCTATGCTATTATCATCTGGTAAGGGAAATGTATATGAAATAAACATGTTTTATTCAACTAAATTGCAAAAAGTGGAATTGCGTACATGCACAGATCAATTCTGTGCACGAAAACAGGGCCACAGTTCAGTTTGCATTATGGCCAAAAGGAGGATTATAACTTTGGGACCGCATAGCATAGTAGTGGAAAAAAATCTAGGCTACAAAGATTTGAAATTCACTAATAAAGCCTGGTACAATGATAAATGCATTGCAATCCAGATTATAACTGGAAAGTGGAAACTGCTGCATATGGCCTGTCTGCTATTCGATATTCGTACCTTGGTTTCTTCAGTTTAAAATCAACTTCGCATATTGTGAACAAAATGGTGGTGAAGTGGTGAACATAAGCATATCATTCCCTAATTTTATGTTGTAATTGCAAAAAATGTTTGATGAAGCTTCTAGGAAATGACCACATGCTTTTTTCAAAGAAATAACCATTTTGGCTGCTTGGAACATATGGAAGATTAGAAACAGATGCTACTTTGACAGGATACCTGCCTCCTTGGTGGACCGCCTGAGACTACTTCAATCTCAACTCAATATTTTGAAACTGAGGGTGCAGCCTAATATAGCTGAATTCTTGACTGGCTTCAGTGATAGTCATGTAGTGTCACTTTTCTTTCTCCTTATGGCCTTTGTATAATTCTGGACTTTGTTCCATGACTCTGCATATTCTTTATTTAATTTAAATAGCAGAAAGGAGCCTCTCCTGCTGCTCTAATGGTTAAAAAATGTATTTTATGTGTTTGTTAGGATCATTGTGATTTGAACACCAAGGGCGTGACAACCAAAAATCTAAAACGTAGCAACTAGTGTGCCATTTGTAGAACAAAATTTAAAACGATAACGGCAAATGAGCTTCAGAAAAATGAGGAAACTTTGGCTCACAGAACCATAATATAGCACAATTTCCACTAAAGAAATATATTTATAGCACAATGTAGTTGCAGGCAGGCAGGCGGGCAATTCACCTTTGCATTTTGTAACTGAGAATTTGCATACTTGATTAAAGATTCTTTCTCGGCAACTTGGCGTTTCAACCCATCAACTGTCGAATATACCGCATTCATCTCACTCACAGTACTCTCAGCCGACCTCAAAGCGTCCTCTTTTTCGACAAGTTGCTTTTGGAGCTCATCGACCTGCTCACGCAGCAAACCGATCTCATCCTTGTCTTTGGGTTTATTTTCTGCCCCCAATTGAGTCATCGGGGCAACCGAGCCGTTGTCTCCATTTGAATCAGGTGTACTCTTATTTCCTGTGTCTCCAGGATCCCTCCGCATTTTTGCCGACACAGTTTGTGATGTCTTTGCGCTTTTCAAATCACCACCCTATAAGAAAAAATCACGCATCCCTTCACCGTTACAAAAGCTCATGACATTAACAAAACAGATTTATCAACGCCATGCCATCTCAACAAGGCTACAAAAACCGACAAACTTGCGAGATCTACCCCTGTAAACCATGCAATGACAATGAAAATCCCTAATCTGAACTTTCTTGCACAGCCTATCTACCGAAGCACGACATCTGAACCACTCCCGGGGTCACAATTCAGAAAAGTACACAGGGAAACCGAAACATCAGCAACTGTCACTATAGCTTTTTTGTTAATGCAAAAAATCCCCACATCCAAGGAGCAAAGCGCCAAAAGGCGAAGAAAGAAGCGTGTCACCTTCTTGGCCGGCGCCGGCGTGTACACCAGCGAGGCGCGCCGCGAGTACGACGGGTTCGTCCTCCGATCCTGCATCCAGAGACAAAGCAACCGCGATAGTCAGAACAACCCGAATCTACAAGCTCCGCGAGAGGGAGCATGAAATCCCTCCAACCCCGGCGAGATCTGCGCCGCGGCTCGCCCACGCGCGCGCTCACCATGAGGGACTCGACGAGCGGCACCATGTCGACCAGGTCCTTGAAGAGGACCCGATCCACGTTCCCGCGGACCTCGCCTGGGCCGGCGGCGCCGGCGCCGGCCTCCGCCGGCCGGAGGGACCGGTCGAGCATCCCTTTTGTCTTTTTTCAAACCGAATCGGGAGGGCGACGAGTGGGAGTGGGGCGGAATGGAATCGGGCTGGGAATTTGGGAACGGGAAACGGCTGGGAATAGACGAGAGGGTCGGGCGGGTGGTTGGGTCGGGGTTTAAGGCCCCGCGGCTTCTCCGGGTCGCTGGGTTCGGTCGTGGTGTTGATTCCGACCGACC